GTAGCACTCTTATGTACATACTCTCCCTCTATCATGCCTGTCCTCTGATCCTTCTTCATTCTTCACTCTCCGAAATTAACTCACACCCTCACCCACTGGTGACCTTATGGTCACTCAGGGTACTGAGCATTACTCCTCGGGGTGACGAGGTTCAATTCTATGTTTACCTCCTCCTCACCCACCTGTTTTCTTGACACCAACAGTTTCTTGACTTGACACTATTTCAAACATAGTTATCATTTAACAGTACCCTTGTTGTAGACTCAGCTAGTCAGGCTCGCTCGAATCGCTCCTATCGTTTCCTTGCAAATGAACGGCAAACAATGTACTGCCTTACTGACAGATGCTCAATCGCAATTTTCATGAGCTGAGAGGCATTTAGCCTCATCTTGTAATCCCAACCCCAGCGGCAGCCAAGACCCATTAAACCGCACAACTCTGGCCATGTCTAGTTGAGCAATGATATCGAATAATACAGCCAACACTCGAGTGTCTCCTAGAGATATCTCTTCTTTCATGTCGAGTAGATTAGCTCAGGCCGTAGCATCGATGCCATGAGGGGAAACCGTATACGTAGAATCGGTGACCAATCATTGAGTCGATCATCAGTGAAGTACTCAGGAAGCGGGTGGTAGCAGTGTTCTCGGTCGTAGATCATATTGAAGAACTTACATTACCATCGTTCTAAGCATAACGCCTATTTACCTCGACGTATGATTCCATCGAGATTCTGGTTTGCATCCATACATCCCTCAACGTCAGTGCTACTACATGCCGAGCCGGCCACTTGAAGATTTCTTGAAGACGTGTTTAAGTTTTTGAGTCATAATATAAGACTTATATTATGTGAGGTCAATCAGGATCAACAGATCCGCATTGTCGACCGCATTGACGAGTCTTGTTGAATTTCCAGGCATGCATCAGTAGTGAATTTCTGTCAATGTTTTCTTCCATGTAAAAAATGACTTAATACATGAACAGCCAAACTTCTTTACCGCGTCACCAAACGAATAGTCTAATTAATGAATCATAAATGCGTACAGAAACAAAACCCTGGAAAGAATGGCCAAGTGAATAGAATCAGGTTGCGTCCGTGGAGGTCGTCCAGCGTGGTCGAGTTGAAGCGGAATGAGATGGCTTCTATCTGAATAGATGATATCGGACGGCCGACGTGGCATCGAACTGGTGATGTGGCTGTCGGTCAACTTTTGCCGGCATTGGACCGTCCGTTGGGAAGAAGGGAGGGGGGGGGGGGGGGGGGGGAGGNGGGGGGGGGGGGGGGGGGGGGGAAGAGAATGATTTGAAGGGGATTCCCATAGTAGCGGCGGATGAACGGGAATCCACCCTCCACTTTTTAGACCTACTTTTCCTGTCTAATCGAGCCACACGAGAAAAGTCCTGTCACTCTTGCCATTGAATGAACAAGAAGCCCTTTTTTGCGGACACGTTTTCCCCATCTACCTAGATCTCCGCAACTTTTTTATAGTGAAAAGGCTAAGAAGAAAGAAGTAAAAGAGGATTCAATGGTGCAGGAGGATGTATTGTCAAGTGGGGATCAAGTTCCAAATCCATGCTCACTTAGGTCACTCAAGCCGTCTATCCTTCAACCCGTTCAATTAAAATCAAACTCGTCTGGGAGAAGCGAAACATCGTCACCGGCTGCCCACCGAAAGTCGTCGTGTAGGTCGCATACGATTCCTAAATGTCGCGAATTTGAATGGAATTTGAATGCGGGGCCCATTCCAATGACAGACTGAAACACCGAGAAACCATCCTCCCTCTCAATTTAATGCTTCTCTTATTATTCTCTCCTCTTCGAAGCTCAAGTATCGAGAATTAATGACTGGGACGTGATAAAGAAGTGAGTTCATCGTTGGGCGGAAAACGAGGAAGCAACCCTTTACGAACGGAAAGCGTCGCAATAACCGAGTCGCTTTTGCCACGAATCGCATCCGAACTGATTGGAAAAGGATCTTTTTATGTCGTGCCGTTTACTCTTTCTTCTCTCGATGTTTCGCTCTAGAAGTTTTTTTTATGAAATAAAGTTTAACTGTGGTGACCCAGAAGGTAGCCGGTTGTATTGGCACGATCTGAGAAAGGATAAGCTTCAATTCTCTAGTCAAAATTCCAAGGGAGGAGGAATCATTATGGGCAGCAATTTCTTCTCGTGAACGTCTTCATTTATGCTTGTTCCGAAGGAGCTTAACTCTTCTAATCATCGAGTCATACTGCGCCGTGCTCTTCTTCCTTTCTGGCGTCGAAATCGGCAGCAAACCTTTGCACTTATGCAGGATAATGCCCCGATTCACGTCAGCCGTAGCACCCAGGCGTAGGGTCGACACCAAATCGACTTTTTGCTCTGGTTGAATAACAGCCCTGACTCGAATCCATGGAAAACGTATGAGGATGAATTGTAAAGAGGATTCATTAAGGAAACAAGCGGTTGGAGGTCCAACGGGCTGAAGAAAGCAATCGTCAACGGGGCACCAAGTTGACCATGAACTACTGTTAGCCTTTACTTTAGCTGGGACAAGCGTATTTTTAAGGTATTTGAAGTCATGCGGCCCAACTGATTATAAATCACACAACTCTCTTTCTCTGTTACCATTTTACTACCGTATAAGTTGATTTGGTAGTAGCTGTATCGTTTTGAAACATAGGCGAAGTGACTTTTTTTCAGAAAAAATGAAGGGGGAAATTGCCCTGTTCTTGAAATGGAACTTGCTGTTGGCCTACAGTTACGGTTCGAATAGGGCCCACTTTATATACTGAGACTTTTTCTGAGTTGCCCTGGAACGTGAACTTTGGCGAAATTCACACTGATTGTATCATTATTTGAAGGAACAGTTAACGATAGAAATATTTTCTGAGCTTTCCTCCTAGGAATACCCAGCGGCCCCCGGGGGTAACAGAAAGAACACTGTCGGGTCCCAAAACTGTACAGCTAGGGCACAGTGGGAGCCTCGATACCGGATCTCCCGGACGCCCCGCCTCTCGACCTATGTGTCAACGAGTGTCGAGGCGATACAGATT